TTTCCGGTTTTTCCAGTCCAACCATCCAGTCCAGTCCAATTTTAAAAATCATGATTTATAGGGTTTCTGTGGTAAAGTCGGTGGCTCTCGTATGCACGTGTTCTGTCTCCATCCCTTTAATCCCCCTTTATTGTGTGATTTGTATATTAAAATAACATTGTCTTCAAGGAAGATTAGTGAAATGGTGTAGGGTAATTCCATTCATCATATTCCTGGTAGCAAAATTTTCAATTCTCTTTTTTGTTATTTAGACTACTTTTACCTTTAGGATCCGTTTGATTTACAGGAATAAGAGTTTAAATTCATTCTGATTCCAATTATTTGGTTGAATGGAATTGGACCCATTCTTATCGGAATAGACCATTCTGATTCTATTTAAGGGAATGACTATATTTTTCCTTTTTCTTAGAAATGAAAATCGACCATTGTTATCTCAATTCCAATAAACAAATGTTATCATAATAAACAAATGTATTTCAAAAGAGAAAACTAATATGAATTTGGCCTTAAAAAATTATATCCACACACCAAAAAGCAAGAAAGGTTGGTAGGCTGTCGTAGCGTGATATATGAAATATGATAACATATATAGGGTTAGGTTATTCTTATGGCCAAAGCTTTTGGGAATGAGCATTAATTGGTTCATGGTCTCATCAAGATCGAGACCCATCCTTTAATTGAATTCGCCCATTACTCGCTATGAAGATTAGACGGGGTAAAGATAAAAATCAAGGGGTTTTCATAGTTCAGTCCACCCCAAATTATTTCAATTTGGAACATCATGATGAGTGTTGTTATCAGTCATCCACCATCATCCGGGCCCACGATATGACAGAAGGGACAACATTTTGATTTTAATTAGTGTATAAGGTGAGAGAAGTGAGAAAGGAGCGAAGACTGCGTACAAACTTCACTTCGCCGACGCCTCCCATCGGGATGGTTGTTGGATATGCACCGAGAAAAAAATAATAATAAAGAATAAGAACCCGTATGCTTCATACGAATAGGGGTTTGGAATTAGAATTAGAATTAGAATTAGAATGGGAATGAGTTATTTCAATTCCAGTTGTTTGGTTGAGTAGAATTAGAATCCTATTCTTATTCTTGCTGGAATGGTATTTCTTCATTTAAGAAAATGGCCATTTTTTACCATTTTCTTAAAAATGAAATCTTATTCTTACTGATTCTAATTCTCATTTTTATTCCTGTTTGAACTAAACAAATTATAGGAATAGATAATTTTTATTCTGACTACAAACCAAACAGACCCTAAATTGTAGGAGTATATTTCTTTGATGCAACGACCTGGAGCTGATTTTTTGCTTTTATTTCTGCTCGTTCACCATGAGGCCATTGAATGGGAAACACTTTACCGTGTTTATCAATGGATTTTGGAGCCAATCACTGTTTTGAAAGATGGGAGCTCGTCCCCATCAAAGAAAGGAAAGCCCATGTGAAATCGTTTGCACAACCCACGCACTCTCTCTTAAAGTTGAATAGTGCTTGGGCCATGGGCTTCATTACATTGCATGACTGAACGATCCAATCCAATCCCCGGACTATCCTGCCACAGTAATGTGATCTCCTTTTTTTTTTAAAGTAGGATTAAGGATTGTTCTTGTTTTGATATTTGACATCTGAAACTTATAATAATTATTTTAAGAGGTGAGATTTCTTCTATCAATATTAACTTTAGCGGAATCATTGAAAAGTCTCTATTGACTTTAATAATTTTTTAGATTTTCAACAAATTTCCTTTACATCTACACCAACTTTCTACCTAAAGACACTCTTCAAATCTGAAACTTGTGCTTTCATGGCCCAGCCATAGCTAATCTCAACCACAAACCATTCAAATGGTGGATTGGCAAGCCATATTTGCTTTGCTATTAGTTGTTTCCACTATCACACACTAGTGAGTAGCCACCACACTAAACAAAACTATGTTGTTTCTACATTATTTATGGGTAAATTACAAAGATGCCTCAATACTACGGGATCAATGACAAAATACCCCTCTACTTTCATTTGTAACAAAGGTCCCTCTTCATAATTCAAGGGGCATGAAATGAAATTTTGAAAATGACGAAAATGGGCAAAGTCATCTCCTTTTTGTTGGACGTTGTTGCCACTATCTCATTGACGAAGAGTTTTCAGCATGCCTATCGCTGAATATAGAACAATCTCTAACAATACAAAAAAAATCATTCGCATATTTTACGCCCTTGTTGGAGAAGAAAGGTATTTTTATCACTGTTGCTAGAAAAGAAGAACCTATTTTAATCAAAAAATGTTCTAGGGGGTTTTGTTGCAAATGAAAGTAGTTACTTGTAATTTACCCTTATTTTTTCCCCCAACAAACTGCAATATTGATCGTGGCAATTTAATCGAACAAGAGGAATGCATTGTTGCCATACAACAATACAAATGCATTTGTACTCTTTTCGAACAAGAGGAATGCTTTGTTGCCATACAACAAGAGGAATGCATTTGGAAGGAGTACGAATGCAAATATGTGTTTTGTATTTTCCCTAAAACCGGATTTTTGTCAAAAAAAATGTTGATTTGGTCAACAAACCGCTGACTAGGGCGGTTGAACCGTTCGATGGTTTTGATTATTTTTTATTTTTTAATCTTTTTGTCAAAATGGGTCAATCATTCGGTTCGAACAGTCGGACTATTTGACACAGGAACCAGACCCTTGACCAGTTTGTTGTCTGGGGTCGGTTTTAAAAATCTTGTTCCAAACTGGGCCTTAGTATTTAACATAAACCTTAGGGGGAGGTTTAAGTTTCTGCTGCAACCAGTATATTTTCATTCATGAGAGATGTTCCATAACCCTACTCACAATACATTGTTGCCATACAACAGAAACATTTTCTATATTTGTATGTTCTCATTCATGGGAGATGTTCTTATATGCAGGGCTGCAAGTGAAGTGAGGAGAATGTGAGGACCATTACCATTCTGTGAGGAGAAAATTTGGATTCCCAAATGAGTCACCATCAATTGGTGAGCTCTGATTGACTAATATATAACCCGTCTTGTTGGTTGGAAGTCGCAGCAAGCTAGCTTGTCCCAGCCCCAAAATTAGGGATGCCAGTGAATCGGGTTTAGTAAGGGTTGGGCTTTATCCCAAACCCAACATGAATTTCTTCCGACTTGAACATGTTGCTGTTGGCAGCCGAAAGAAAATTACAAAGATCTAAGGGACACCTCTGCCCCAAGAATCAGCTAATTAAACTATTAAAGCATTAAGATGAAGATGAAATCCAAAATAGGCTCTTTCTCTGAGATGTAGTTCCAACGGCCCACAATTTTCAAGCAGTCAGCAACCAGTGGGATAGCTTTTTTGGCTAACTATGCTAACAACATTAACGCTACATTTGGCATTCCTTATTTTAAGGAAGGATTTATCTTTCTTTTTTTAGTTAAAATTCCCTTATGAACACTATTTTTTTTTATTTCAAAAAAGAGATAGATGCTTAAAATAAGAAATGCCAAATACAGTCTAATAGAGATACCAATTGATCCCACTTTAGTCAATAAAATTCGCCCCGTTGTACTCCTTGCCCACAACAGTAGGAGATATGGCCCCCTTAATTTTTATAGGCATCAAAATTGATTTTAATCTCTTGGTCTTGTGGAGGAAACCGCATTTGGCCATTGGACTTAGTATTGTGTCCACATGCACATGCAGTCTTGGGCTTTTTAGTCCCAAATATACTCTTTTGAATCTCAGCCAATCCTTTTCTATGATAATCGGAGGGAATTCTTTTTTGTGCTTTTGAAAATGACACACCCAGGCTCGTTATCTCTCAAACTTTGAATTAGAATGTCTCTTAATGTGTGATGAGGGCGGATTTGGCCCTCCAATGACATTGTGACACCGAGGCAGCTCACCACCATATAGCACTTACAGGCAGCTCGCCACCATGCAGCACTCAGGTAGCTCGTCACTAGGCAGTTCACCACCATGCAGCACTTACAGATAGCTCGCCACCATACAGTCTGACACCTTACAAATAACTCACTTCCTAGTTAGACTGACCACCGCATGACAACCCCGAGGAGCTCACCACCGTATCATGCATTTTACGGGATTGACTTGTAACGGCTATATTAGCTCACCCACTCCCCGATTTAGGCAGAAATGGGCAACCTTACTAGTTGGTGGCTTTATCCCCACCTAACACGAAAACAGCTCCCATCACAGCGGGAATCCAGGAACTACTCCACTAAACACACGAGGACTCTAGTATATAAAGGCCTCACCCCCTAGGGCGAAAAGGGGGGAGAAAAAGAAGGGTGATCTCTACTCTCTAGCTCTCTCATTCTCTAATATCATTTTCAACTCACTATTAAGTGTTGACTTAGCCATCGGAGTGTCCCCACCGGGTAAGCCACCCCGGGTTCTCTGATTCAGTTCTTACAGGCAACAGTTCCCGCCGTTTACAAAGATGAGCCGATCATCTCCTGTAGGGAGCAACCGGGTTGCACTATACTAGGGAGCTCTACTTCAACCTCTGAGTCACCGGCCACTTAGAAGCAGACGAGATGAAATGACAAAATACTAAGTCAAAAAAAATGATATGTGACCAAAAACCGTTACATCAATGCGGAAGACTATTATAAGAGCATGTGTCATTGCACGTATGCAAGTAAAGATCTAAGTATTAATTATAATATGTGATATATGAATTAATTTGTATGACTTAGACATAAATCAAGACAAGTATCTATTTATTTATTTTTTGGGGGAGGGGACAGGGGAGGGGGTGGAGTTGGGGGTTGAAGTACAAAATTTTGGACGTTCCGAATTTTTTCACCTCTTCAGGTGAGCCTTCGTAGAAAAGCCTTACCAAACGGAAACTTAGGCTTTGTGCTTGGTGACTTGCAAGATTTGTGTTTCCAAAGCTCGATAGGCAAAAGCTTATTCAAACAGAGATAGGCTCTTCAAGATTTGTGTTTCTAAAGCCTCAAATCACAAAGCCCCAATTTCAGGCGGCTTTGTGTTTTGAGTCTAATCTATAAGTGTTTTAACTTTAAATTATATATTTCAAAGGAAACACTTGAATGCGTAAAACACTTTTTTGTCACATTCTTGTTTACCACAGCCCCAACCCAAACTCAAAAGCAGAAACCCAGAAAGCCAGACTAGTCCCACAGAGGACTTTTCAGCTTTTACCCCCAAAACCTTTTTGGTTATCATGATGGCACATCACCCTCAGCTCAGGCCTCATTAAATTCACCACCACTGTGCCCTCATTTCATGCCATCCATTCCCCCACTTCTTCTCAGTTTGGAGACTTACTGCTTGGCAACAGCTCTAGCTTTCTCCAAATCTGATTTGATTTCTTTATTCAATATGTTCCATCAATGATCATATCCTGCAATTGACTGCATTGCTGGTGTTGAGAGAGATGGGTCATCATTCATGCTGCAACAAACAGAAGGTAAAGAGGGGACTGTGGTCACCTGAGGAAGATGAGAAACTGTTCAACTACGTTTCCACCCATGGCCATGGTTGTTGGAGCTCAGTTCCAAGACTCGCCGGTAAAACACAACTAATATCCACATCTTCTCTAATGCTGCTTTACGTTAATTTATGAATGTTGAACATAACTGCATCTCCCCACTCCCATATTGCTGATGAAAACTTTATTTGAATTTCAATTCAAATGCATTTGATTTACCTGTGTTGTTCTTTTATACATCTTTTGCTCTGTTATTTAAAAGCTCTTAACCCATCACTCTTGAAGAAACGAAATGCATTAATTCTGCTTCATTTCATGTTTCAGGCCTGCGAAGATGCGGCAAAAGTTGCAGGTTAAGATGGATTAATTACCTCAGGCCAGACTTGAAACGTGGGCACTTGTCTTCCCAGGAAACCGATCTCATAATCCAACTCCACAGAGTTCTAGGAAACAGGTAATTAATTTGTTCATCGCTGTAATCTAATTTAATTAATCAGGGCTTGACAACTCGTACAAACTAAAATGATGATTGATGAGATGAGAGATCGTATACTACAGGTGGGCTCAAATTGCCAAGTACCTCCCGGGAAGAACAGATAATGAAGTGAAGAACTTCTGGAACTCGAGCATAAAGAAAAAGCTTATCTCTGGTGCTACTGTTTCTGTTGACTTAACTACCCTATCAGATGTCTGGAATCCAGTTGCATCTCGTGAGGGTTTGTTGTCTCTAAATGCAAACCCAGATCCAACCGTTGCTGGCCAACAGCGTCACTTTTGTCTTCCACAACAAACAACAAAGCTAGCAAGTTATGATGATGGTGATTTTGAGCCAGACATGATCGATTACGATGTCAACTGGATAAGCGTGTCACAGCCGCAGCCGCTGCAAACAGAAACAACAGATTCTTGTGACCTGATGCCGACAGAGAGTTGTGGTTATAGTATTCGTCATCATCATGGTCATCGATATCGTCCATCGGAGAATTATCAGGATTACAGTCAGACCGATGAAGCCACAACCGCTTACGATGGACAGCTTCTGGGATCCGAGATCCCCAACATGGACAAATGTGGAATACCATCTTCTTCTGCTTTACATGAAACTACTGAACCATTTACTGCTTTCCCTTCTTCAGCTTGTTTTCCATTTCGCTCTTACCCATGGAATCCTCAAATGCCCACCAATCAGAGGCAGTGCATTAATTGACGGAACCATACCAGCATCATTATCAGTATGAACCCTCCTACTCCTAGTCCTAGTCTAGCATCGATCAGACTGGGTTCCAGAGGTTCGATCGGCTTGGTTGCTTAATTTTCTCATCATGTGTGAATTCAATACAAACACTTGTTAATGGATTTATTCCACCCTCCCAAAAAAAAAAAAGTATTTATGGATGTGAATTTAAAGCTTCATTAATACAAACATTTGTGGGTTTCATCGATATTGCTTCTCAAAAAGCTTCATTGAGAAGTTGCAGAAAAAGGTTTCCTTTCTACATGCATGTTTGCAATTAACCATATATTTGTATATTGAAAACTTTTAGATTCTTTCTTTTTTTTTTTTGAATGAACTGATTTTTATTGGAGAAATTTGCAACCTTCGATTGCCCTTGGATGCACTGATTTTTATTGGTTTATAGCGTACAACCGGTTTGGGCTTTTTGTGAAAACTTGAATTAACTAGGCCCAAAGGCTTGAGTACGAAATAGTGTAAATACAGATTCTGAAGATCCTTGCAAATACAGAAGTTACTAACAGGTGGGGCTAACACATTTGTACCGATCCTCCAATATAAAATCAGAGGATATTAATATGATCCAAGGAAGCAGTTCGAGACAGGGGATTTTCTCAAAAATTAAGTTGTGTCTCAGAGCTGAGTCTCAACGGTACAAAAATAAACCCTTCTTATCCGAGATTATTCTAACCACGTAGACTCTTTCTGCCCCTTGATCAAGGGACAATTGTCCCACAAGGTAAGATTAGTTGCCCAGATTTTCTCAATTACCTTGCCAAACTTTGACCACACTAAGCAAGTGTCTTGCTGATATGGCATCAGTTTGATTATTTATAAATGGGCCAAGAAAAGGAGACTAGTCAAAGATATTTACCCATTGGTGTAGGCTATACTATCAGCCGTAGGATTTGTCCATACACCAAGGTTATTCTGAATCGAGGTCATCTGGCCACTCAGATCAACACAATCTAAACTGCACCCCTTCTGGATGGGGGCTCCTATTAAATTGTAGATACAATCACCTTTCCAGGGTGGATTAAACACCACTTCCGCAGGCATTCACAAATTCTCACGAAAAAAATAAGGGAGACGTGGATTTATCATCTATCGTTAGAACTTAGAATCGAAACGGAATCCATGATTTGGGAAAAAAATAAGGGAGGCGTGGATTTATCATTCACCGTTCTCTTCAGATTTGGGACCAAAAAAGTCATTCTAATCCGAAACGAATCCGTGGTTTCTTTCAACCAAACGTGATTCTCATCATATAATTGTTAGAATCCAAAAAAATCGATTCTGCAGAGTGATGCCAAACGGGACCTTACTTGCTGTAGGTTGTCAATAGTATTTCATATACTGCAACTGCTATCCCCCGCGCCCGTGGTCTTATATATTCCTCCATTATACATCAGCATGCCCATGATCGGTGCAATACCTGGAGATCTCTCAATTTATAATAGAGATGTGTGACGGCAATTCACAGAAGATAGAGACTGAGTAAGAAAAGTGAATAGGAAATCCCGTTTATGAGAACTCATGGTCCTGACTCCTGACCCTTTCGCTATATATGTAGTAGGACAGGATATGGTCCCAACACCTAAGCCACTGTGTGCAGCGTTCCCATAAGCAAAGGCAAACCAACTTTTCTTCCTTGTGGCTGGGTGAAAAAGAAAGGAAAAACAGCAATGATACAGAATTAGGCTGCATTTGACATTTCTTATTTTAAGGATCTCTCTCTCTTTTGCAATTAAAATGCCCCTATGAAAATGAATTTGGCTTCAGTCGGGGCAAAGTCCGTTCAAATAGCCTTTATAGCCTTGCATCGTATTCCTTGCTTATGTGCTTTATTTTATGGGAAGATATTCCCAATACAAGATTGCAAAAAGGCAGTTGGAACAGTATAAGCATGGACTTACACCGACAGAAGCTGATCTCTATAAAAATTGAATTTTTAACAGCCAAAAAGAGATAAATCCTTAAAATAAGGAATGCCACATGCAGCCTTAGCCCCTCCTGTAAGGAGAAAATAACTGATAAATAAATGAAGTGGATTAACAAATGAAATAAAAGATTTGTATGCATTTGAGTTCCTTACCCATAACATGAGCAATGACAACCTCTCTCCTATTGACATAATAAGGTAAAAGTATCAAAACGTGAGAGTAAGTAGTTTATTTAATAAAAAAAAGATAGCGGTGCAAGTTGGGTGGGCCCAACTTGAGTATGGACTGACCCAGCCCACAACTTTGTTCGGTCTAGATTTGGATTCCTGGCCATCAGGTTGGGCCTAAGGGCCCAAGGCTTCAATTTTTTTTCAAGTTGAGCCCGACAATTAGTATAACCTTATATCAACCTGAGCCCAGCCCGACTATATATTCATAAATACATAAATTGATGGTTTTGACTTTTCACGACTCAACGCACATGCATTCACACTCGTCTGGAAGAAAAGTCAAAACTAACTTAATTTTGGTTCCAAACAAACAAGACCTTTTTCACCCTGCAACTCTCTCCCCAGGCCTAGGTTATTACTTATGTTAGCTGTATATATGGGTTGAATTGGATTTCCATTTACAGCCCTACCTAAGTGGGAGCCCATAACCCATTAACCAGCCCAGCTAGAAAAAAATAAAAATACTAGTGCCAGATCATCATCATAGATGCTCGACCCTTTTTGTATTTGTCGTCGTTCAAGCTCTATAATCTATTTCTTTATTACCAAAAATAAAATAAAAAAGCTCTATACTCTATTTCGTAATTCGTAGCAAATATTTTAGGACCGAAATAAATACAGTGGGTGTCCACCCAAACAAACACGTACGAGGTTTGGGACCCCCAACTAAAGTACCACGCAAAACGAGAGGCGGATGACTGAACACGTCACCGTTGGCCTGAAACACCAGCTCCCAAAGCATATCCTTAATTAATGGAGCCCGGATCTGCTCCTCAGCCTGGCGCCTCAAAATGCCCTCACAAAATGTGAAGTAACAGTCGTTAGGCCTCCATTCCGTTGGTCCCCCTCCCACCCCACCCCACCCCACTCAAGTCTTATTCGGCACTTTCTAGTTTTCTGTTCAATTCTCGCTTAAAGCCTTTGCCTGTTCTCTTTTCTCTTCGGTAACGAAAGAATGAAACCCTAATGCCTTCCATTAGTTGTATTGTTTTCTCTAGTAGTTGGCGATCTCACCGGTGAGAATAGATTTCGATGACAATACCCTACGGTCATCGATGAAATGAGACTCCAGCAATTCTGCTTATTTCTCCACTTGCCCAAATTCTCATCCCCGTTCAACTACAACATCAGTCCATTCAGCATCTACGCCTATGTTGAATTCAACAACCTACAACTCTCGTTCTTGTTGGGATAGTTGTTCTCATATGGAAATAGAACCTCTAGAAGAATTAAATGTGAATCCTCAACCTGTTACTCGAGGAGATTTCATGTATCCACGATCTTTTATGCTTAAGCGCAGTAGTAATATGTTAGCAGACCAGACAGTTGTTTCAACCAAAGCGATTGTCTCTGCATTTTGGACTACAGGAGTTGCTAATCAAGGACTGTTAAAGGGGCAGCATGCCTATTATTTGAAGCAACATGAAAATGTTAGCTGATGGAAATGCTGACCATGCAAAAGCACCTTCCCATATGGATGATGAAATAGCTAAAGTCTTCAGATCAGGTTTCTGATATACAATCACATGATCCATCAACCAAAAACTCATCTTCAAATATGAAATAGGAGCCCTCTAAATTAGAAAAACCAGAGAAGGTTGTAAGTGGTAAGGGGACATCTAGCACTCGCAAAAGGAATTTATGATCTTGACTTATTCTTTAAAATTAATGGGAATTTCTACCAGAAGCTTTGAAAGATTGGGAGTGGAGGAAGCAATGAGGTTTACAAGGTCATCTCATCCAATTGTACAATCTATGCCCTTAAAAGGATCAAGCTTAAAGGCCATGTTTATTCTATTGCATATAAATTTTTTTCAGGAGATTCAATATCCAAAGAAGCTAAAGGAAAGAACAACATCGTACAACTTATCAACTATGAGATACAAAACTTCTAACCATACACTATGCCTCTCAATTAAGTCTCTGGTTAATGCAATAACAGTTATACATTAGAAAAGATTTTGCTACTGAGTCACTTCTAGCTTTTCATCAAACTAATAGAAAATAAACCAAGAGAAAGCTGATAACTCAAGAGCAGTTGTTCATGAACTAGTAATTATGCAACACTAAGAAGATGAACAAATGCTTAGCAGTTGTTCATGAACAAGTAAAAAATACAATCTATAAGCAAACTAATTGTTCATAACGTTAAAATAGTCATTCGAACTACGGGAGATTATAATCACTCCAATTAGAAGTTTTGGCTTCATGAACTAAGTAAAAATCAATCTAATAAGAATTCAAATTTTTTGAAAGGGAAAAATCCTGAACTTGGTAATGATCATCGATGTCATAGTCTGATGTCATAGTCTGCATGTGAAAAAAATAAAAAACCCCAATGGAGGAAGCCCTCGTACTATCGCCGAAATCTATTATGGCCAATGAGATTGCTAGCTTTCGGGGAGAGCACTACAACTGACGGAGGGCGCTAGGGTTTCATTCTTCCGTTGCCGCCTGTCATAAAGAAAAGAGGAGAGACAAGGGTTTTGAGCGGGAATAGAATAGAAAATTAGAAAGTGTCGAATAAGGCTTGGGGGTGGGGGGAGGGAGCTAACGGAAATGGAGGCCTAACGAGTAACCACTGTTAGGCTCCTCCGCTTGTGTATAGAGTTCACATGGGCTTAGGAACATCTCCCGTGAAACATGCACATTCACCGTGCATCAGGAACATCTCCCGTGAATAATAACAAATAAGTACGGGAGATGTTCCTAATGTATGATAAGATGTGTGTGTGTGAGGCTCTTGTAAGGCGCCAGGTGTGAGGAACAGGTCCGGTCTCTCAGGCTGCGAGGAGCAGATCCGGACTCTAAATAATGAACTCTGGTTAGCCACTGCCACGGTGCCACCTATGACCTAACCATTTATGTCCATTCTTTAAAACAGATTTTGGATGATGTGGCCACCTTCAACTGACAGGTAATTCGGCCACAATAACGTAACCATGACTCTGATAGCCACGTGTTAAGTTTATGTATTTAATAACATGCTCCTGCATGTGTGCATGGCCATGGGCAACTGTGACGATCATCTTCATCTTGTGTTAGTTAGAGTTTGTTTGGTCATAACTCTGTATACATACGCTATGTATAGTAATAGTATATACAATTAATTAAACTAAATAATAAAATAGCACCGACAAATACACGAAAAAGTAAAGGGATCACATAACACACTGACATCCATCCTAAACCTCTGAACGAACGAAACGACAACCGCATCCCGTTGGCGGGGAAGGTTGAAGAGAGACGACGTGATCAACGATTCACCAAATCGACGGTGGTGATTGATCAAGTGCAGCACCCATTTTTGCCTGCGATGAAAGCCGAGGTCAGCGTAATGCGACAATCACCATTTCATCAACATCCATCTTCTGGTTTTTGGTGTTTCAGTCGTCGCACACTCCCGTAGCTCATCACAGTATCATACCTCCCTAATTTCTCTCTCTCTCTCTCTCTCTCTCTCTCTCTCTCTCTCCAATTTCGTTCGTCGCTCCTCATTCGTGGCCGTTTCCCTCTTTTGATTTCTCCTTGTCCGTTCTCTTCTGTGCCTGCCCCCATGGCCTCCTCCTCTTCCTCTTTGTTCTTCTCTTCTCTCTGTCTCTGCCGATCCCAATCCACGTTGTTTTCTCTCAAGTAGTCTTAGTCGTTTCCTTCTCTCTCTGTACCCCTTCCATGGATTCTCGAACAACTTTCTCAGACTCCAATGATAACAACAGTGGGAGCAGCAGTATCAGCTTCGTCTCCAACACCGAGACCTTGTCCCCGGAAATCTCTGCCCCTGACGTCACGGCCCTTAGACGTCTTTCTGAAAACCTAGAATCCATATTTGAATCCCGTGATTTCGATTTCTGCAGCGACGCCACGATCGTAGTTGACGCTGGCCGCGAAGTTCCTGTTCACCGCTGCATTCTCTCCGCTCGAAGTCCTTTCTTTAAGACCGTTTTCTCTCGTTCTGCGGGCAAAGATGGTGGTACCAAGTTCGAACTGAAGGAATTGACCAAAGATTTCGAAGTCGGCTTCAACTCCTTTGTCACGGTTTTAGCTTATTTGTACGGTGGAAAGATCAAGCCATCACCTAAAGATGTTTGTGTCTGCGTCGACGACAACTGCTCACATATCGGATGTCGACCAGCTGTGGATTTCATGGTGGAAGTACTCTATGCCTCTTTCACCTTTCAGATTTCTGAACTGGTGGCTCTTTATCAGGTAAGAGAGGGACCCTTTGTGTTCTTGTTCATTACTTGAGTTTTGATTTAAAGCTCTAATAACTGCCAATCATTAAATAATAATTCTTCCAGGTGTCTTTTATGGGTTGTTACTTGAATTTCTAATTAATCGTGAGAAGTGGTCCTGTTGCTAGAATTCATATTACAGCAGTTAGGTTGCTTCAGCATTCATTCTAAATTTCTTAGGATTGTTCCCTTTAAGCTAGTATTTTCTGGATCACAAGAAACAGTGACACCCTTTGATATATTTGATCTTCTTCAGCTAATTAACATAGTTTCTTTTATTCTTATAACATGGTTAACTTTAACTCATGAAACCGAACAACCTCTTAAGAGATTTTGTTGTGAAAGTTTTCTTAATCCACATGATCTTCACGTGGAGCAGTTATTTGTGTCTTACATGGTATTAATGGTGGTATTTGGTGACTGAAATTGAACAAATGATTATCCAATATGGTTAGGAACTCTCTTGTACATAGACACGAAATGGTGAAAGCTTAAACTACCCTAATCCTTTATACTAGCTACATGGGGATAATCGTTATCTGTCAGGGATTATTTGTTTCTGTAATCATCTGAAATGAAAGTTAGATCGTGAAAGTATAAAGACATTGAAGCTGAGAAATAGGCAACTGGTAATTTTGTCATAGCTTACTTGATAGCAACTTGTATTTCAAGTAATTATTCTCCATATAGGTTCGTCCTGATCTAATGGAGAAGTTGGTTGCAGATGTAATGTTGACTTTACTCTAGGGATGTTTAGTTGACTAGGGTTGACCAACCATGTGCTGTTATTCTGATACATAATATTTATGTGTATTTCCCTACTTTTTGCAAGGATTAGTTTTGAGGAAAGTAGTTAGTTCAGAATTAATTGTCAGCTTGCTCTGAAGGATAAATGAAAGTAGAATTCTTCTCTTTCATTGCAGCGGCACCTACTTGGCATTCTCAACAAGGTGGCAGCAGATGACATCTTGGTGGTATTATCGGTTGCATATATGTGTGATAGAGCTTGTCAGAAATTGATGACAAAGTGTATTGAGATTATAGTCAAGTCTGATACTGATATTGTAACTCTTGAAAAGACTTTGCCCCATGATGTTGTTAAGCAAATCGTGGATTCACGTATTGAACTAGGTTTGGATGGCAATGGTGGCAACATTTTCCCGGATAAACATGTGAAAAGGATACATAGAGCTCTAGATTCTGATGATGTTGAATTAGTAAGGATGTTGCTGAAAGAGGGGCATACTACACTTGATGATGCATATGCTCTACACTATGCCGTGGGATATTGTGATGCAAAAACTACCACAGACCTTCTGGATCTTGGACTTGCTGATGTTAACCATAAGAACCCAAGGGGATTCACTGTGCTCCATGTTGCTGCAATGCGGAAAGAACCTAAAATTATAGTATCTCTCCTGACAAAGGGTGCCCGACCATCTGACCTCACACCAGATGGAAGAAAAGCACTTCAAATCTCAAAAAGACTCACCAAATCTATGGATTACTTAAAGTCCACTGAAGAAGGAAAGGCCTCTCCTAAAGATAGGTTATGCATAGAGATACTGGAGCAAGCAGAGAGAAGAGATCCATTATTAGGGGAAGCTTCAGTTTCGCTTGCAAAGGCAGGTGATGATCTGCGGATGAGATTGTTGTACCTTGAAAATAGAGGTATGCTATTCTGATAAAGCCCAAATTTATTTTCATTTCAGTATGTAATCCCTTATTATATGGGTTTGAACTAGACGAATTCGGATCTGCTCCTCACAGAGTGCGCCTCACACCAACCTCATAGCACATTTCAGTCATGCATTGGGAACATCTTCCCATGAATGAAAATTTACAAGTATGGAGATGTTCCAGATGCACGGCTGAAACGTGCTGTGAGGCACGCTCTGTGAGGAGCAGATCTGAACTCGAACTAGACTTAACAAATTCATACTCTTAACAGTTTGGCCTTGAGGAAGTTCATTGTTTTTTCCAAAAATATTGATTTGAGCATCAAAGGTCGCTCTACCTCAATTGATTCGTTTCAAGTATGCACAACAAAGTTGTTATGCATGCTAACACAGCAAGATGTAGATATACCTTTATATTCTTCACCAGATAAATTAAGAATGTATAAGAAGTTGGCTGCAATGTGCAATTACCAATTACACAATGTTGATCTCAGATATCTGGGGTCTTGGGAGGCGTGGACTGGACACAGATCTAAGCTTTGGCGTATTTTGCCAAAGATGAATTAAGTTTAATATATACATATATATAATGACTATTTTGGTCCTTGATTAAGACAGTATAGTAATTTTATAATTCTTAAAAAATATAGTTTGGAAAAGTATTGGATTGCAATGATGATGTTTTTTCCAGAATGGTTATCCATCTTGACATGTTATATTCTCTGATCTAATTAAACTGATAAAAGAGGCATTTCTTCTATGGCAAAACCTTTTTTGTGGATTGCACTAGGTTTATTCTTGTTTTAGAGGAATTCATTTTTAGGTCATAAATTGACCTACGGCTTTTCCAGCAGAAAAATTTTTTTAGAATGCTTTTGACAATTTCTACCATTATTCTGTTTTTAAGAGTCAGTGCCATTCTGGAAAATTGACAAGTTCATTGTTTCATTTTGAAAGTTGTGTTAAAAGGACAGGAAATGATGATCAAACATTTGGACTTTAAATGTTCATCACTATGGTTTAGTTAAACCTGAACTGTCAATCTATTTATTAAAAAAAAAAACCTGGACCGTCAATCCTAGAAAGGTGTAATCATCGAATATGAGAACTATTTGGTGGTACATGCTCCTACTTCTTTATTGTCCAATGATATAATTCAGTTTTGGATGTGACATTGGCATTGCATGTTGAACCTCTAGACCATGAACTGCCAGCACCAGAGGCCTGATTTGATTTAATGAGCAATCAAGTATGCAGAGTTTCAAATGTGACCCTAGTAGGTCAATTAGTATGTATATTGGCAAGGAAAGGTGTGAATAGTTCATCAAGGCCAACAATCTTGAGACAACTGCAATGTATTGTACATCCAGTGTTATGATTTTCCACTAGTTCTTAGGCATAATCATGGAACGTTGCCCCAAATATTTGTATTATGATTTTTGCGGTTTAGACTACATTGCACTGATGATTGCATTTCTCTTTTTCTGTTCCCTCATTCAGTTGCTCTGGCAAAGCTTTTATTTCCCATGGAAGCACAAGTTGCCATGGACATTGCACATGTGGATGGCACTACGGAGTTCCCATTAACTATCAATTCCAGAAACTCACCTGCTGGCCAGAGGGCGATGAACTTGAATGAAGCACCTTTCAAGATTGAAGAGGAGCATCTAAATAGGCTGAGAGCACTCTCTAAGACTGGTAAGTCATTCTGTGTTTGTCCCAGTCCTTGCTCTGGAAGTAGCCATATGGTTTATTAATGCAGGCTTACTACACCTTAGACATGCCAATTGCTGAACCGATTGGGCAATCCTGATCACCTTATGCGTGACTCTAATGTTATGTGATCTTGAATCATAACTGTTCCCACTTCCCACAACCCGACATGTATCAATTCAGGTTATATGGCGAAAATGTTAATCAAGCCGTGAATCTTCTTTCTGGTATTGCAGTGGAGCTCGGGAAACGTTTCTTTCCTCGTTGCTCAGAGGTGCTCAACAACATTATGGATGCTGATGATTTATCGGAGCTCGCATACCTTGGAAATGACACGCCAGAAGAACGTCAACAGAAGAAGAGGAGGTACACGGAGCTCCAGGAGACACTAAGTAAAGCATTCGATGAAGACAAAGAGGCGTTCAATAGGTCCACCGTATCATCTTCATGCTCATCCACTTCTATAGGAATGGGGAGGTCCAACAACAGGCACGTCACAAAGAAATAAGTTAAAGAGAAAACGCCCATCCATCTTTTTTTGTTCCCTGTAATCATTCTTTTGCTTTCTCCCTGTTTTGCACACGCTTTCTCTGTAACATATTTTAACATTCCTTTTGGACATCACCATGTTTAACGAAAGGAGTTTTGTTTTCCCATGTTCACCTTATTTATAAATGTTTTTTTTTTCTTTTTGTTCATCTTGTTTATTCTTGGAAATATCATACAAACTTGTCATAACTATAACTGAATGAAATTGTCAAGTGACAATCAGCAGCTACATTTCGACCTAACAACCTTGTGTGAAATTCTATTACAAGTAATGAATCTGCTGCTTATTTTGCAAAAAATAAAAAAATAATAATAACTTTCACTGAAATTGTTCCAGGTCCAAAGATCAATGATTTTTAAAACAAACTACTCACCAATAATAGACTTGCAGATACGCAAGCTTGTTGTGGTTCTGAATTGGGTCGAGTGGAAATTTTTAGTTGGATAACCGTGACCATTCCATGGAGTGGAAATGGGTCAAGCAGTTGTTTCTTTCTTCCTTTCTTTCTTGGGTTATTATCTAAAACTTCCCTTCACTTCACTCTTCTCTCTTTCAAGTCAAGGACGAGTTGCACTCCATAAATAACCACGTAACATAGGGATTGGCAGAAGGAAAATGCTCCTTTACTCTGTATTTCAATTTTCAACTGCAAAACGAATGAATGAATGAAATGACCCAGAAAGTATATATAGACAATAAAATATTTATACAAAAACAAAAACAGATAACTGTCTTTCTTGTCAGCACCTCTGCATCTTCAGACCCTTCCCTGCTATACATAAGACCTGTGTACGTGGTTAGTAGTAGTACTGTTACAGGACGGAGGATACGCAGCACAAGCACAGACGCTTAAAAACACTAAGGTGAACTGCGCATTACTACCATACCCATAACAATAAACAATACAGTGGATGCAGATTCAACAACCAGCCGATCCTGTATCAATGATGCCATTTTCCTTCCAATTACGGTTTGTTGGACCCCAGATAACCCATTTGCTCAACCAGGTCCTGTACATTTTCTCCCCAATCGGGTGGTTTCATGATCAAATCCTCCACCTGGATATCAATTTCCGATTGATCCCCCATTTGAACTTCTTCATCCCCATCACCCGTAATGAGGTCATCGTTCAGTAATTCCTCCCAGGCTATGTCACCGACAACAGTTGTCAAATCTGGTTCACTTGTGGAGGGGATCACATCAGCTTTCTGGTGCTGAACAGGACTATTCGTCGTTTCGTTGTCTACGGCAACAGAGAACAATGTCTCTATATCTGATTCTATTGTTGGCACTTCCTCCTGCGCTTGGTTCCGGTACCCCACGAACTGGGCCGTCTCTACGGGTGACGCTGCAATCTCCTCCGCCGGCAAATTATCTATGCTCCGACTGGCGGGCAATCTCCGTTTCCGCCCAATTTCGCCGCTTCCCAGTTCTTTCTTTAGCTCGTTCCTCTGGATGAGTTGTTGCAGGAAAGCAGGGTTCCTCAGAGCTCTAGCAAGGAAAGCCATCATTTGCTGTTGCTTCCTCTCTGTACCTTGCAGCCGTTCCTCCATCCCAATGAGTTGATCTCTGGATGCTTGCTGCTGCTGTCTCAGTTTGACAATTTCCACCATTAAAAGGTGTCGATCCCTCTTCAGCCTGTCGATTTCGTCTTCCAAACCATAGCACCCCAACTCGACCCAAGCTGCTGCTCCTTGTTGTTGCATGTGCTGAGCCTGGGAGGCGTGTCTTCTTCTCTTGATGTTCTTTAACAAATGCCTCTGCCCTCCCAGAAACCCTTCATTTGCAAACTCCCATCGATCCGGATCAACTTTTCTGAAACCCTGTAGCAATTATAGCATTGAAACTCATCAATAATCAAAATTGTTGGCATATGTCCAATTAATTAATCTTTCACAGATTAGCTCGAAAACAACAAAAGATTACGAGTATCATAAAATTAAAAAAGAAAAAGAAAGAAAGAAAGAAATTACAGAGGAAGGGAAACGAGAGAGTAGAATACTCACATATGTGTTGAGCTGACGAATGAAGCTCGAGTAGTTACTGTGCTTGAAATATCTGGGAAGGAGATTGGTCGAGAATTTGTGGGAATCCCAAACAATGAAGCTATTGCGGGCTTTGCTCCAGGAGACAATTGAGTCGGTTGCCGGGTCCTCGACCATATCGTAGGTCTTCGTCAAGAATGGAGGAGGACCCGCGTCGTGCAAACCCTCCATGGGTTGCGGCGGCAAAGCCGACGACGACGATGGAGCAGTGCCGACCACCGTTACTTCCTCTTCCTTAACAGTCACTCCTTCCATGGCCGTCTATCTTCTCTTTCTTGATGAATAAGCAAAGTGGATAGCAGTAAGAGCACAAAGAGACGGAAAGAAAGATATTCAGTCCATTTGAGAAAAGCTCCAAACAAAATCGGAATGCTGGTGGAGAGTGAAATGTGAACAGAATAGAAATTTGCTGGTCTGCTACTACCGGGGATTTCGAAAACGGCGGATTCGGACAAGGGGGATGGCGTTTTATAGGGAGTGGAATCGAAAGTTCTGGAGAGAGGAACTGCTGTCTCTACCCTCTCTACTATCCAAATATCTGCCCACCAGCTTTTTGTTTGTTTTTAGGGTAAATTACAAAGGCCCCCCCTTACTAGGGTCAGTGATAAAAATCTCTATACTTTTTTTTTTGCGACCAAGACCCTGTCAAACAAATACCTCCTCCGTTAATATTCCGTCAGTTAATTTCGAAAAAGATTCATATCTAATTAAACAAATACCTTTTCTTTTACTCTATGAAATCATCACCAAAATAACGATGCCAGTTGACGCCATTGCAAGGAATGAGATTAGAAGAACAAAAGAAAAGAAGTAAGAGACCGAGAGGTAGAGAGAGAGAAGGGGATGTTGCCGCTGCAACTACTAACAGCAGCGGTGAGCACAAAGCATACCTTCACCACGGTACAATGGAAGTTTATCTCTGATGAAGGGTTTTTTGGCAGCATCCTCTTGTTCAGACTATTTTTAAGTAGCTGATGATTCAGAGGTCAAGTTGGAGTATTTTTGCTGGATGAAGACTTGGATGTCGAGCTGACTAGGCCGAGTTGGGGGGTAGATTGGGTGTCAAGCTAGATTGATTACTGAGCCGGGTAGCTCTTTAGAGAAATCTGCAAGGAATAAATGTTAGAGGACCCAGGGTGTCTAAGCCGGCAAAATCACTCCAATGATTAAGTAAGTACTCTCGCAGTAGATCGCAAGCTAAAAAATCAAAAAAATATGATAGCTCGAATGTGTTTACTCGCCTCTCTCCCCTGTGTCATTGGGGTTGGTGCCTTTATATAGGCATTGTTTGGTGTGGGCTTCATGCACCGCCTCTGAGATTTCCGAGAGGTCGCCTAACTAGTCCGAGATCCCCGGAGGTAACCACCATGCACGTTGACCACCCTCTGGAACGTTCGATACGTGGGCCAACTTTCGAGAAACATGGGAGTGTCGGGATATGTATGTCGAATTTGTCGACGAGTACATCTCGCAGGTCGCCACTTGAACCTCAGTCGGGCCGGCACGCCCTCGAGGGATGTCGCTCCTCGCGTCGAGGTCACTTCGGCCAGTGACGAGGTGTTACAGGTCGGCCCTGGACGAGGTGCTTCTAGCCGATCTAAATTGTGGTCGAGGTCGCTAGGTTGGCGTAAAGGCAAGTCGCCAGGTCAGCGGTGAAGGCAGGTCGCCAGGTCAACGGTAAAGGCAGGCCGCCAGGTCAGCGGTAAAGGCAGGCCGCCAGGTCGGAGAGATTAGAGTAAAGACGAGCCGCGATCTGGGACTCCAAATCATCACTTAGGTATTGTCTAGGTGTCATCTAGCCGTTCTGAGATGCCATGTGTCACGACATAACATGGTGCTGAGAGCGAACTAGTTTTTCCTTTGTTCTCTTTTTCGTGTTGAATGCGAATTGCTTTTTATTCCGCCCATGCAAAAGAGGCGATTGGGTCTTATGTGGTGCCGAGGTCTTTTATCCACTCGGCACCTTAGCCCTTAGGCTCTGAGAGTGACTCGCAGTCCACTCTTCCTATCCTTGATCTTGCCCATGCCAAAGAGACAACTGGGTCTTATGTGGTGCCAAGGTCTTTTATCAGCTCGACATCTTAGCCCTTAGGCTTTAGGAGCAATTCGCAGTCCACTCTCCCTAACATTATTTAATCAACGTGCGGCCTGACCTTTCCGCCTAAGTGGGTGGTCATTCTGTAATAACTTCTCATATGGCTGCTTCTACATCATTCCATGGGATTATCTTTTTGGACGAGTGCTTGCGAGACTGCTGTGTACGTGTTCTACACCCCCTTGCGAGGGCATAATGTTGTTGTCGGTGTGAGTCGGCAATTCAGGGCCACGGCTACACTACATTAGGCTCGTAATGACATCGGTCGTCCACTCCTACGAGAAGCCACAGGGAGCTCGACCTGCGGGAGCAGCTCTACTAACTGTTGGCCGTCAATTCGCTCGCCTTGAGGGGCTCGACCCGCAAGGGCGTTCACATAGTTCGTAGGCTGCTAACTCCCATGGTAGCCGCGAAGGGTTTAATCTATAGGGGAGACCTCGCGAAGAGGACTGATGAGGCTTATTTGGGCCAAAAAGAAGTTGGTAGAGCTGCTTAGTCTGTTGGCCATCAACTTCCTGCGGAAACCATGACTGGCTCGACCTGCGGGGACAGCCTTACTTCGAGGTGCCTGTAACCAAACTACTGGATGTTAAGGTCATTCTGTTGTTGCCTATTCTACATCGACATGAATACGTCGAGCTGCTCCCATGCTCACATTTGAAAATTCATGCTTCATCTCATGGAACTGTCGCGCTTCGATCTCGGCAAGAACTCCTGATGGCTTTACCGCGGGGAGAGGGGCATTCACATGCGGTAGCGGGGTATTTATCTGGGGTACTGGGGATGCTAAGTTCGGCCTGAATTTGTCTGAATGTCATAGGGGAGTTCTCCAGGTTCATCATAGATGCTTTTGCCCCCCAGTAATCGGTATTCGTTTTGGGTGTTGATGTTATTCAAAAGTGCCTTTGATTTCATAAAAATGGAAATTAGAAAGTGATAACTTTAATTTCTAAAAGGCGAGATCATAGCTTTCTGGAATATAAGGACTTAGCTTTTTAGAGGTGAGAATTTAGCACTTTGTAGTGTTTCCCACAGACGACGCCAATTGATGAAGGGTTTTTTGGCAGCACCCTATTGTTCAGACTACTTTCAGGTGGCCAATGACTCAGAGGTTGAGCTGGAGTATTTCTGCTAGATGAAGACTTGGATGCCGAGCTGACTAGGCTGAGCTGGGGGGTAGATTGGGTGTCGAGCTAGGTTGATTGCTGAACTGGGTAGCTCTTCAGAGAAACCTGCAAGGAATCAATGTTAGAGGACCCAGGGTGGCTAACCCGACAAGGTTACTCTGATGATTAAGTTAGTATTCTCGTAGTAGATCGCGAGCTAAAAAATAAAAAAAAATAAAAAAAATAAAAACATGAAAGCTCGAATGTGCTTACTCGCCTCTCTCCCCTGTGTCATTGGGGTTGGTGTCTTTATAGGCATTGTTTGGTGTGGGCTTCACGCACCGCCTCCGAGATTTCCGGGAGATCGCCTAACCGGTCTGATATCCCCGGAGGTAATCGCCATGCATGTTGACCACCCTCTGAAACGTTTAGTACATGGGCCAACTTCCAAGAAACGTGGGAGTGTCGGGATATGTCTGCAGAATTTGTCAACGAGCACGTCTCACAAGTCGTCACTTGGACCTCAGTTAGGATGGCATGCCCTCGAGGGAGGTCACTTCTTGTGTCGAGGTCACTTCGGCCAGTGACGAGGTGCTATAGGTCAGCCCTGGACGAGTTGCTTCTAGCCGACCTAAGTTGTGGTCGAGGTCGCTAGGTCGTCCGGCCGGCGGTGAAGGCAGGTCATTAGATCGGCGGTAAAGGCAGGTCGCCAAGTCAGGGTAAAGACCAGCCACGATCTAAGACTCTAAATCATTACTTAGGTGGTGTCTAAGTGTCATCTAGCCATTCTGAGATGCCATGTGTCACGATATGACTGAAGGGCCAAATCCACCCTCATCAATTTCCATGATGAGGGTGGATTTGATTACTTCATATAATCGGAGAAGAGAATTCTTGTAGGAGTTGATAAGGCAAGTTAAGGTATGAATTAAAAATGAAGAAACTGAACGTACCCAGTATGGAACTCCATATTTCTTAAGCATTTGGAACTCCATATATCTTAAGCATTTGGATAGGACCGAATGCAAAGGATAAAATACGGTTAACCGAATCGATGGATCAGTTTTTTAAAATATTTATAATATATTATATATTATTTATTATTTATAATATAATATTATACATATATTTATATAATATATATTATAAATATAAAAAACTAAAAAACCGAAGAACTGAACTGATCAAAAACCAAACTGGCGGACCAATTAACTGGTGGTACCGGTTTGGCTTCAATTTAGAAAAACGGAAAAACCAATACCACCGATTTAGTTTGCAAAATATGCCCGTGGTTCGGTACCGAAGTGTGAGCCTGACTTATTTGGACTTATAGTCTACCGTAAAGGAGGAGATAATCAAATATAAATAAGAAATTAATATCCAAAAAACACTAAGAAAACAAGAGCAGAGATGAAACAAGATGCCAATACAGAAAATTGACGGGATGCCATGATTCGTCATTCTCAACATGCCCGTGGTTTTAATGGTGAGTCCTGTTGCTAATTCTCTTGCAATGTCATCACAACGCAATTCGTTGAATCCCAGAATTCCTAAAATTGATATTTAAGGCTCCGTTTGGTTCACATGAATAATGGGTCCAACTGTTTGGTTAAACAGAATTGAAACCCCATTCCCATTTCTGCTGGAATGATATTCCCCCATTTGAAGGAATGGTCATTCCTTACCTCTTCCTTTCTTTGGAAATGAAATCTTATTTCTGCTTATTTTAATTTCCATTTCCATTCTTGTCTAAACCAAATAAATTATGGGAATGGATCATTCCAATTCCGATTCTAGATGATTTTGATTCTGATTCCGATTCCGAATCCAGATGCAAACCAAACAGACCCTAAGTTCATAAAATCTCTCAAAGAAGAAATAGAGCTATCAAAATAATACCAGACCACACTATTTAGCTTTGGTTTTTTGGAGAAGCTCCCAACCACACTATTTAGCTTTTGGTTATTTGAGAAGATCCCATGGCCACTGGGCAATCCAAAACTCATTCTATAATACTGAAAAAAAAAAAAAAAAAAACATTCTATAATACTGGAAAAAAAAAACCATCCTATAATACTGAAAAGAATAGAAGCAGGAACCTCCCCAATCATGGCCAAGTACAAAGGGAGTGAAGATGAAGAACATGATTCCCTACACAGCCCCCAATTGTTGATGTAAGCTGCAGTTGCCGCCAATCCCCAATCCAAAGATGACAGCAGCATTCCTAACGATGAAGCTCATACTCTACCCTGGGTCCTTGACCCAACAGTGTTCGTGAATGGCGGCTCAGACGTCAGCCAATCAAAACGGAAGAGGGGCATTGGGATCAAATTCATCAAACTTCATCAACCCCATTAACGCTATTAATCTTCTCTTATCCTCTATTCTCATCAACAAACACGACCCTCTCAGGAGCACTCACCTTGAGTGCCCAATCTTGATGTCTACATGCACTCCAGACCCAGATGGAGAAAAAACTAACATATGTTCCACGAAAACCACCGCATTTACAAGCAATGAATCTAATCTTAGTGGGATTGTTGGATAAAACTCTGGTCATCGAGGAAATACGTGAGGGAGGAGTCCTAAACCACATTCATAAAACCCAATTCGCCAAAAAATCCATTATTGTAAAGCCGAGTATATTGCATATTTTCAAGTGATGCAGGCATTTCTCCGTTGAGATGTTTGGAGAAAAGCGACACTCCTAGCCATGGTTTTCAAAATTGGGCCAAACCGAACGGTCAGACCAGAAAATCAGAGTGATCGGTTCCGTTTTACCCAGAACCATTATTTCGCCAAAAAACTGTTGATTTGGTCAACAAACTGTTGACTCGGGCAATTAAATCGTTCAAACCGATCGAACCGTCCAACGGTTTGACCATTTTTTATTTTTTTTTTTTATTTTTAAATTTTTTTGTCAGAACAGGTCGTCCGCTTATTCAACCCGGGAACTGAATCCCTGACCGATTTGTTGGTTCGGTTTTAAAAACCTTGCTCCTAGCAACACACCATTAAAGATTTTTTCCCTTGCTAGAGGTTTTTTATTTCGTTTTTCGGTGATTGGAAGCGTGGGCGCTTTTGGGGACCGATTTTCAAGAAAAAACACCCATGCTTCCAGGACCCGTTTTTCACAAAAAAAAACACTTCTACCACACAACACTATGTTGTTTGGTAAGGTGATTTCATCACCATTTTTCATGTATGTGATGACAGGTAAGCACCACATAGGACACATCAGTCAACCGTTGGGGGAAACGGTTCACCGATGCATGAAACGCCAAATTATCGGTGGGGTCCTGATTTTTGAGACATGCCCGGTTTTTTAATAATCGGCTGAACCAAACAATGAGATACATAGGCATTTGTTGAAATGCCTACGTGAATCTGGTGTGGCACCATTTTTTGAAAAACGACCACTTCCAAACATCCTCTAGGTTTTTAGAGAGAATGAGAAAAAAAAAAAAAGTTTAGTGAGGTTTTTTGATAATTTGACACCTTCCGTCATCTGACTTAAAGGCTGAGGATGCCTTTGTTTAACGGCCAAAGTTTAGAAGGTCTTTGTCGAAAAACAAATACAGGGTCTGGGATGCATTTCTCAGAAGCTTGTGCCACTTGCCTGATTCACTGTCTCCGAATGTTCTGGCCCCACCTCATCTCCTTTTGTACATTTTCTAGAAACTTCTGAACGTCGCCACCCACCCCCCCCCCACCGGTTACGCGGTGAGAGAAAGAGAGGGCGTGGTATAGCCGTAGGGACTAGGGAAGGAATTCAGTCTGTATAGTCTGTTGTTACACAATACGTGGACACTTCTCTGTCATAACTCTTAACTAGCCACGTGTCCATCCATGACGTAATGCCCAAGCAGTCAAACATAAACGAGCCATCATCCAGGGTTTTTGCTGTTATATCGCCTCGAGAATGACAGTCCGTGTCGTATCGGATTATCAAAGTTCAAAGGGCCGTCCGATGTGGTATAGGTGTAGTAACTGTACAATTCTACTTGTACCAGTCCATATCGTGTTGTATTTGTATCAGCCTTTATCGTTTAATTGATTGATCCGATCTATATTGGTTATTAACTTGTTAAACAATAAACAAAAAAAAAAGTCAGCTACACCAGACAATTCTAGTCACTTCAGAGTCCAGATCCAATCCCCGACAGACGATTGTGGGTCCATCCCCTTGATCGCACCGCACCGAGCAGATAAGGGTCGACCAAAAACCCTTGGCGGCTTCTATTACTCGTCCTGATGCCAGTGATTTACAGGGTTTTATTGGAGTCTAAGACGAAGGCCCCTGACGCATCTAGAGATTTTGATCAATCCCATCGAGTAGAGAATCCTGATCCCGGACCGAATCAAAACTCAACCCCATAACGTAATCGCGATCCAATCACTCTCCTCTAACATCCAAATAACTGATTCGGAGGATCATGCCCTATCCTCCCTCATCGGTTGGACGAATCGTCGAATCCCAAAGGCAAGAGAATGTCAAATAAGAAGGACTAATCTTCGGCTACATTTCGGTAGAAAAGAATTCCTGCATTGTCAAATAAAAGCCAGGAAAAGAACAGGGCTATGTAATTGTAAGCAGAACCACCGTAAAGCACAGACTTCTCGTTGGCTTCTTCATGAACAAATTATGAGATGGTTGTCCAACCCAAAAAAAAAAACAAAAAACAAATTTTCTCATGGAGTGATTCTTGCTCGTCCTTTTGCAATTCTTCGAGCAATCACTTTCCGTCCACCCTTCGTCTCCTTGCTGTTTATACCCAATAAGAACATCGATTAAAATAGTAAAAGTTCAACAATTTGTCATTTGTTTGCACCATGATATCATAGATGAGAAGGGATGGACTTACCGAGCAAAGAATCCATGGGTTCTCTTACGCTTGATGTGGCTGGGTTGGTATGTTCTTTTGGGAAGCAAGAGCATTGTTGCACTGGAAGAGCCTTCTCCTAAATAACAAAAGTTCGCACAAGTTTAAGATATTAATAGGACACACAGAAACTAAGAACCATAAGGTCAAAGGCATCTAAGTATAAACATGATTCGGACAATCGTGTCTATTCCTATTCATATGATGTGTATCCAGATTTTAGGATAAAAACTTCAGAACAAACGAAAATTCAAATCTAAATTCCATCTAAGATTTCCTTGTTTTAACATATGGAACTAGACCTACCAAATAGGGGCTTACCAAGACATTGTTGGCCTTTATCCTACTTTTTTCAGTCTGATGTATAAGTTGATATTTTCGCTTCATTTCATTTCATTTCTTTTTCTTTGAATGATTTTAAAACAAACATTTTAATTTTTTTAAGCACATAAAAAGCAGAAAAGTAACTCCATGTTCACCAATCACCAATGGATTTATCAAAGGATCACCACTACTTCTTGGCTTCATTTTTATTCATTTTTTCTTTTAACAAATACATTTTTTCTTAATTTTTATGACTTTCAAAATATTTGAAAATTGGCATGCCACATGTACAAATGACATACCAGATAAATAACTAAAAGCTTTTGTGTGTTGCTAATAAGTCAAAAAGATCTTCCATGTGGTAAAATTCCCTCTAAAAGAATTGTTTTTGGAAAGCCATCAGTATATGACTCCATTACCCTTCAAATTATCTGCATTGTCTGGCATGTATGCTCTTCACCATGGTTAAATCACAAAAAGACAAGAACACTCTAACCCCAAGCATTTGCACAAAAATCTATGTAGGTATTTGATTGGAGGAATTAGTTTACCAAAATCACTTCTTCAAGAACCAGTGATGGTAGTTTGGGGAATTACTGACTTCTCTAAGAATACGAGTTTGATAGAAATAATGCTGATAAGGTGATGTTAAAACATTCAACTGTCGTAATCAGCAAATCAATTCCTCCAACCAATCATCACCTCTGTTAAAATTTCATCCTTTTATGATTTGATATTTCCGCAGACAAGGCCCACGATGCTATTACGTCTTTTATCTATGGACCAAATCAGACTGCACATTATCTTTATAATCTAACTTATAATGATATCCTTCTTCCTTCCTATGCCCGAAAAAAGTTGCTCAACAATTTTTTTTTTTTTTTTACAAATAGCACCAGTACTGAATTCTAACACCCCATACAATTCTAGGCATTTTTCTAAGCAAAGAACTTCTGCACACTATAACTCCCCATGTTTCAATGGGCCAACCGGTCAATTCATGTATTTTTTTGATGGCTAGGTAGCATCTGCCCTATTGTATGCCTCCTTCTGACCACACCTCCTTTGGTGATCCCCAAAATCTTGGCATCACATCATCAATCCAGGAAACTTTCCCAATTGTTATTTTCCATTTATCAAAATTTCGCTGGCCTCTGACTAGGATAAGACAACAACAACAACATACATCTTCAGCAGCACCTCTAGCATGGTCCAAATAGGCTACAAACCCAACAAATTGTTTGCAATTTAAGCCTCTCTTTGCTGATAATTAATGTGAAAGGCTCTCTTATTCATTGGGCAGGCAAATTAGAATATTGAATTACTTATTTCCAATTTTCAAACGGAAGGAAAGTTCCTAGAAATCTATGATGTCTTTCACATATTACACCTCCACCATAAGATGGAAGGCATCATATCCTTGTACAATGTGAATATCATAAAATAAACCTGCCCAGAGATACTGCCGAACCATTATGAATTATTGAATTATCATTAATCCATCCATCACAAGTCAAATTCAACACAAGTAGTATAAATAAATAAATAAATAAATCGACACAAGTGGCCAATTATCAGATGCTATTTCATTTACTGTATACCATCTATTATTCTCTGAAAGATTTTCTCAAATGTTAACGAGAAATGAAATTTCTCTCTGGATTCTAAAAGCTACCAAGGTACAGGAAAAGAAAAGGAGAAAAATACAGAAGACAAATAATGAAGTAAGAATATTAAAGTGTTTTACTTTTCTTTACAAAATCGTCTTCACAAAACTTAAAATTATTCAAGCACAAACCCGAAATCGTGAGGATCACAAAATTCATCAAGCAAATAAAATGGATTAGAACAATGCTTCACGCGATCTCCTTAGAACAAAAGGTTCCGCGACGGGAAATAAAAAGCGATAAAGAGCATATAAGATTACCATCTGGTAAGAAGAACCGAAGAGAGGGAAGCCCGCATGGATACAGAAAAGCCTCAGAAGCTACCTTCTCCGAGGCCCCACCACTGCATTCCAGCAAATGGAAAGAGGTATCGAAGTTGGAAGACGAAGGACAAAGCTGGGGAGGTATTCGAGAGCTCTGCAAGAAGAGGCTTTGAGTTGAACTTGGTTTCCCATGAAGCACTTGACTGAACAACCGACCAACGAGAGAAGTGCCAGTCCGCGCTAGGGTTTTGCTCCACATGGCCGTATCCCGTATGGGTATCGGCAGCACCTTCGGCCGCCTCTCTGCCCACACTGCTAACAGGTTCAAAGTATCGGTACTTAGATTAACACGGAAACAGGGTTGTTTTCATTTTTTTATTTTTATTTTTTCAAATTTTGGTTTTTAAACACGTTTTTTAATAATTTTTTTATTGAAATAAATCAGAAATATACGATACGATATGCCCAATAGTTGTTATATCGATACTTTGAACCGTACATAAATGCTTGATTGGGTTGTTTCGGTTTCCCCCGACCCTGAGACTAGACCTGTTCATGGGCCGGGCCGGGCTTTTACTGTGTATTAACAATTTTTTTTAAGGCTCGAGCCCGAGCCCGGCCCGATCATCGGGCCTACAATTTGGGCCCGAGCCCGGCCCGATCATCGGGCCTACAATTTGGGCCCGAGCCCAGCCCTCATAAAAAGCCCGAAGCCCGAGCTTGGGCCTGGGCCCGAAATTTAGCCTACATTATTATTATTATTAATGTTGAAGCAGCTGAATAAAAAGAGAGATAGATTGAAATTATAAAGAAAAGAATAATATATATATATATATTAAATTATAAATATATATTTTAATAAATATTATATTATTTATATATTTTATATAATATATAAAATACATATTATATATTTTATAAAATATATAATACTGAGTTGGGCCAGGCCGGGCTTTTTTGACAAATCCCGAACCTGGCCCGAAACACAGTCGGGCTTACTGTGTTAAGCCCGAGGTCAGGCCCGCAGGCCTAATTATATGACCAAGCCCGGCCAGGCCGTTGGGCTACCCGGCCCATGAACAGGTCTACCCGAGACAAGAGCAAGAGATGGGTCATGGCTGGGTCCTAGACTCCTAGGTTCACAAAACTCGGTGAGGACAATGGACCTGGGTGCAATTTGTATAAGGAACGGGCTTGGGCTTTATTTTCCAGTCCAGACGTAATTATGCCCAATCCAGTAGCGGCCTTCTTATGGAAAAATATCCTTTATTACCAGTCCTTCCTGAATCCTGAGGGAGGGGAGCTGGTAAAAATCCGTCTCATACTGTTCAGACTTTTACGAAGAAAATTTATAGCCAGATGGTTTATATTGACTTCAATGCTAACAAATTCAAAGCTGTAGGTTTGGATTTTGCACTTCTCTGTAATTAAATAGGTTGCCCCCCTGTTGAAACCCATATACGATTATTTCTTTATACCATATCATCTATGCATACGAGTATATGACCAGACCAAACCTTCCTAGTCTACTTTCTCTCACTTTATCACCTATCAGACCGACCCACTCTTCATCCGAATGCCTTCCCTTTACAGCTTTATGAATCAATGTATTTGAGGTTCAAAAATGCATCAAATTAGAGTTTCAAACAACCAACACATGGCATGGAGCAGACGTAAGATGTAATCTTCTGAATTAATGAATGAAATTTTGCCTTCATGTATAAACCCGATTTAAGTTTATCCATACATAAATTCATATCGTGATTTTTTCACCATTTTTTAAAGATGTTTTAATGCATCCAATAGCTTAAGATGCATTTCAGATATAAAGCTGCATTTAGAAGAGGTGTAAAACGTCATCAGTGTAAAAATACACTGAACCTTAAATATATATGGCCATTGTATTTTAAAATCGATGTAAAAAATTGTTTTAAGTTTTACATCAATAAAATCAATGTAATTTTTATATCGATTATCGATGTAAAACTTTAAATGTGATGAGGTTTTACATCTATCATCGACGTAAAACAAAACTGAATTAGAATATAGTTTCACATTGATAATGATTACACTTTTTTACCAAACACGTACAAAAACATACCGGTATAAATTTTACATGGGTTCTTGATTTACATCGCATCCAAATAGAGCGTAAATTTCCCCTGCAACGAAATTACTACACTTCCTATCCAACAAGCATTTCCTAAGCATATATCTTATAATCGCCTTTCTTTTGACTATTGGGCATATCATTGCATTGAAACTTGTTTATTTTTATTTTTTGGTTTGATGATCACCAAAAACAAATTGGAGGATTCAGCGAAGTAATAATTATAAGAGAGATGCAGTCGAAATTAGAATCTACCAAACGCCTTGTGTTGGATAGTTCCCAATTCCCATAATCTGGAGTTCATATTATTTTGTCAGTGGCAGATGCAATGATGCATGCATACCCAAGCCTACGTCAGGCTATCAAAATATTTCCATGTTCCGACAACAACACTTGCAGAAGGGAAGGAGGATGCGATAAACAAGCAAGCCAACGCGCAAGAGCGCAAAGCAGACAGAGACTTCTGGCAAAAGCTCAAATCTTCATAAAGAAAAAAAAACACTGACCCGGTCATCTTTTAATTACACCATGCATCAAGTATAACAAGAAAATCAAAATTCCCACCCAAATACACACAAAAAAGAACCCTAAAAAAATAAAAAGGATAGACATTTCTTTGAAACTGAACCACAAATATGTCAGCATCTCAGTAAACAGGACGACGGACCAGGCATATCATGGCATGCCAACGTAAGTTAAAAAGGGGAAGCTTCCGCTTTATAAGATACAAAAAAGGAAACAAGGAAGCACAAAAAAACCAGAATCAACTCGGCACTTTGAACTGGCAACAGAATAACCGTATCATTGGCCTCGAAATGTACACAAATTACTGACAACGTTGGTCCCAGGATGTTTCATTGTTCTCCCACAAGAGCAGCAGCAATCCATTCAGACGCAGATGTTTGAGTCTCCAACTCCACTTGTGAAGATAAAGTTAGGGGCGTAATTGCAATCTATCATACCACAAAATGAACAAAAAGTAAACAATTAGCCACGAGATGGAATGTTCAGAAACAAAGTAATAATCATGTTCAACGAGAACGAATGTTTTAACTCACGAATCCATTTTCAAGTGCTCTGAAATCAAGATCTTCATCCTTATCTTCATTCTCCTTGTCTAAAAACTACACTTGCAAAAAGACCGACTAAGCAACTCCACTCAAATACTAGTTTCTCTCAACAAAAAACAAAAATCAAGCAAATGAACAGTACGAATATTTTAATCCATGCCAACAGAAAACAGCATAAACCATTACTGTAGCCCACATTCTATCATGTTCAAGGTACCATCACATACCTCTAGGCGGAAATACTTCTTCACTGCTCGTTGTGAATCAGGCTTTCCTGCAACCCCAACTGATTCTATCTCCACATTCTTCCTTTGCGTGTTAAGACGACGTGCCGCTCCCTATGAAAACAAGAAACAAGGATGAGCTTCGAAAAGAAGAATGCATCTCATTCGTGCAAAGGCACCATGACCCATAGATTACTCAACAAAATACACTCACAGCTGCAGATGCATCTCGGCCGAGCTGTGCCAGCTGCAAGCCAAGGCTTTGTTGGTTGGACATGAAATGCCCAGCAGAATGGTGCCTGTTTGATGAGACAGCTTGCCAGCTTAGGACAGACCTCCACAAACTCTGTCTCGTGACTTTAAAGCCCTACGAAAATACAAGCATAACATAAATATAAAACAAAGATAGCAACGGACCAACAATTGCAAAAAAAATGATACTAAAGTTATCATGTAGCTAACTGCTAAGTCCAGAGTGAAGAAAGCAATTCCCGACAAGGTTTCAATGTCCAAAAAAAATTGTAGAAGAAAATTGAAGAAGAGGCAAGGAAAGAGAACAAAAAAACAGAGAAGAGAAAGTAACTACAATATTGAAAGTATAAGAATCTTTCTAATATTTGACAAAGAGTAACATTAGTACAAAAAGGCACCTAGATTGCCAGGAAGATCAAATTTCCTCCCCATTTGATGATAAATCCAATAAATAGCATCACCTGGGAAACTATTACAGATCTCCTTTTTCTCATCCTGATCAATTACAGAAAATCTAATTTTCAAGCCCTATCTGTGTCAATCCCATGGAACAAGTTCATGAGAGTTCCAAAGGAATGATATCCGATGAAGCAGAGATAGTATTCAATTCCTTGAGGATATCTTATGACATGGAAAGGTAAAGCCAAAAAAGTAGATAAGATTGTTCTGTCCTTGGGTTTTTCTCACTGTCTCAGTTGCAAGTGAAATTATTTAAGTTAATCGTCCCAAAACATTAGGGCCATTAACCAGTTTTGGTCCCAGATACCTGGGGACTTGAGATAGGTAGGTTGGATATGGACCTAACCTCTGGCATTTTTTTTGGGCACTAACTGGCTGCTTTCAGACTCAAAATTGCATTTTCACACTTATTCAAAGTCACTATCACTTGAGATTCATACCATGTAGGAGAGCATTGTGGTTTCTAGATAAGTTATTATCACTTATTCAAAGTCTTCTTTGCTCTGATACTTTGGTGCCTACTCCCTCTCCCTTGTTTTTCTAAATTTACAAGGAACCTTCTTCATACACAACTTGCTATTGGGAAGGAAAACCCTTCACAAATCACAAGGACCACCTGATTGGACTTAAATTATCTACCATTTTCAGTGATCCATCAGAGCAAAGAAGAAACACTCCAGTAAGCTTTATCACTGGGGGGGAAAACTTAACTCCAATCAAAAGGTGAACACGATGACCTCAATGGAGAGAAATGCATAATGTTTCTGCACCCATCGTGCAAACCCTTGTACAAATTAAAGACAAACACAGAACCATCATTAGATCATAAATTCATAATAATAATTTCCAACAGACAATTTAACTCCAAGTTGACCACTAGAAGGTTACATGTTTACTCCAACCACAAGGTGAATACGGTGACCATAGAGACAATATATCCATCATTTGTTTGCCCTTGATGTTATGCCCTAGGGATCATAACATCAACAACACAAATGCAGAATCAATTTTTTCAAGGACATAATAGAACTGCCCCACCTTTGGCCAACTCATTAGCTGATTTAGGAACTCCGCACTCTGCCCAATGATATCTGTCCTAGATGCCTAAAATCAGATTTTTCTAAGATCTAACAAAACCACCAACCAACAACGACTTTCATTCAGTGCAAGATACTAGTGAAATACATCTGAGGTTCACCTATCACCATCATGCCCCTGGCATAACTAGTTTTAATCCCTCAACCAATCGAGAAGAGGTCAAGTTTCAGTGTACATTGGAGCATAAAACCCTAGGGAAAGGAACTGAAAAGGTGAGCAACAGGGACTATTCAATCCCATACAACCTTATCCAAGAAGTAGCAATCAAAATGAGCTTTGAGCTTACCTTTATGAGGAATTCCAACAGATAAAAACCTTTAAACAGGTGACTATGAAAAATAAATAAAAAATAAAACTTTCTCTAGTTCCTTACAGTGTTATCCAATCAAAAGTCCCAGTTCCTTGTAGCCAGGACACAGTGGTCAGTGCCGAATTTTATGATTTCCACAATGATGTTGATTTCAGGATGCTAATCCTTGAAGATCTGAGTACCTCTCTCTGGTCAATGCTCCATACAAATAGCATCAAGACCAGTGTTCCACATTCTATTAAACAACTTTCAGTTGACCAATTATATAAAGGATTTAAAAAACTGATTTGAAAGGAGGGAAAAACTCATGCCATCTCTAGCAGGTGAAAAAATAGCAGGATAAGATGTCCCAAGCCACATCACAGTGTTAAAGGGATAACAGGCTCCCCAAAGTTGAAACTGACCAAGAAAATTATAGCCAGAACTCAATCTGTTTATAGAAAAGGGTTCTCATTAACAAAACCCAAAGTTGAAACTCAACAATCAAAATTCTTTTAGTTCATTTTTCAGGGGGTAGCAGTGTAATTCCAATATAAAAAGAAACATCAGGACTATGAAGAGATGACCATTTCATCAACTTCTTACTTTCCTTAACAATCATTGAGAACAATTTCTCATCTCCATAGGGCTATAGGGACCAAAAAAGATTATATACAGTTCAAAAAAGCAAATATTGTCTGGGCACTATCAACAACAATACTGAAAACAAAAGAGAACCATGGTTTAATAATCTAATAATCTGATACCGAGGTTTGAGACTAGATACAGTACATAGTACTATTCAACGATCATTAAGGTCTCTCAATGGATTTGCTCCAATACAGTAGGTACAGAGGAAAGCTCATGAGGTTGCAATGTCAAGTTGGCACTTAATCATTGAATAAAATCTAAATCAAAAAAATCAAAAAAATAAAAATAAAGTATGTCTAAGGGTTTGTTTGATAACAGCTGAAATTATGTGATAGTGCTCTTCCTTTGTAATTCCTTCTTTTTTCTCTCTCTGGTGTACATCTTCTCATGTACCTCTCTTTTTTTAATAAAATCTTAGCCACTTTTTGCTCAAAAAAATAATAAAATATTCAAGGGCCAAAAATCTGCTATTCTTTTAGTCAAAACACCCTCAGCCATTAAGGAGCCCACAACCTCCCTAAAAAATTATTCACTAAAAGACAAAGCAATACGCCTTTTGGTTCAGCCAGTTCATCTGTTATCAAATGCCCCCTAAATCTGCTACTCTTTTTGAAGAAAAATGAAGGAAAAGCTTGCTAGAAAATCAAACCTAAAGCTTTATCCTTTGGCATCAAAGAATAAGATCATGCACTGGCTGAAGAAATTAACATCATACATAAAAGGAGGGCTGGGAAGTGGTTGCGATAGAGTCCTGGAGAAATACAAGTACACTATCCTTCTATGCCTAAAACTTTAGGGTTTCAACCATTTCTGAGGTTAAAGACATAGAAGTTAAAAGCAGCTTCCTGTAAGCTCCAGAAGAATCTCACTGACTTTACGATAGATCCTGGCCCAAGGTCAATGTGTTAAACTCAACATTGAACTCTCTAGATGCCAGAAGTCAGACAACATAAGAAATTAAGAACTCAAGGGTCTACTATTAATTCAGTCAACTACCTTATTACACATAATCTTTGTAACCCAGAGATAAATATCAATACAATCACAGTTTAAGAAGGCTAAATCCAATAGGCTTTTATATAAAAGAGATGGTTAAATTAACAGAGCATCATATCCCTATCTAAGAAAGATCAGCTCCCCATGAACAACTGTTTTAATAGATGGTTTGGGCATGTGCAGAGAAGGCCATCCACAAGCTAGTAAGAAGTTATCTGTTATAAGTGGAAGGGGCTAGAAGAGCCAAGGGCAGGCAAAATGGGACATAGGTTGAAGCAATGGGAAATTATTCAAGGCCTGCAATTTAACAATGGATATGGTACTGAACAGGATGGGATGGCAGAGCTGGATTAACCTCATACGGTTGGGACAAGGCTTAGATGGAGATGATGATGATATGACATGATTTGCAATACTTCCAACAAAGTTTACACCATGCTTGAGAGAGACTAACCTTATTTGTCAAGGGAGAAGTAGGAATTTCTATATTCAGTGAACAACTTTTGGGGAAAAGTCCCTTCTCAATATCTCTTATGGCAGCATGTATTAAGGGCAAACAGACCTCTACTGCATCTTTAAAATCACTTTCACGGTTTTCGTCCTTCTTCCTACCAAGAGAGTATAAGGAAACCACATTATAGATATGTTCAGTGATGAACAAGCATACATCATAACAAGAACAAGAGCTTCGACTGACCAGTTAAGTGATATTGAAAGAGATGGTATGCCGCAGAGTAAAGCTTCTCTAGCCCCAGCAACAGCACCCGAGTAGTATCTGTAGGATCTCCAAATAAGAGAATCATTTCTTTCAATGAATAAGAAGAAGATATCATACACGCTAAATATAAAAAGACAACCCATATAATATATTACCATATAATGGCATCCAGAAGTTAGATATAAATAAATCAGCAGCGTTCATAGACTTTTCCCACTTTCAATTGGCAATACCGTAAGGAAGGTAAGAGGTAGAAGAACTAAATAATGATAATGCAAAGGTACCGGCACAGTACTTACATTTGATGCCCACAACTTGATCCTCTGTTGATTCCGCTGATTACCTGAACATCAAATCAGAAACTCACATATGGCCTTAACATTAAGACTAGATGGATTGCAAAATATATAAAATCTCTACGGCAAGAACATGTAAACCCATACCAAAGCAGGCTTAGACCACGAAAACAATGCCCCTGACAGGGCTAAGGAGACACAATCTGCAGGTGTTCCTGATTAAATAAACGACAACAAGAGGTTAGCAGATAAAAGAGGTAGTGAAACAACATAAAAATCACCAAAAGTTTACGAGCATAAACAAAGCAATAACGACATAAGGTTCAGAAGTCCTAAAGACAGTATCCAGAAAGTGGTTCAATTTTATCATAACACTGTAATTTTAAAACGAAATTCCCAAACCCCCAATTCAAGTAAACAATATGCTAAAATAAACTCCAAAGGGAGAAAGCAGAAAATATGGCATTACCACAAACTTCATAAGCTGTAGCCCCGAGAATTTGAGCAGAAGTCACAGCAAGTGTCTCACGAAGAGTCACCGAGTGACCCGAAACAGATTTATCCCTATGCCACCCAGCAATCAAAGGAATGAAATTGGATAAAATCCCAATACACCCAAATGGAAAGGAAAAGACAATAAAATCAAAGAGAGCACCCACGATTGGGGAGCGCAGACATGAACATTGCATCGACCTTCTCGGACCAGAGCGTCGACCAGGAAAGTAAGGCCCGGTGCCTCGATTCCGTCCGCATTAGTGATTAATACAACAGGTTTTGAGCAATCTTGGTCGGAATTTACGCCAACAGCAGCCGAAGAGGAAGGAGGAGGAGGAGAAGAAGAAGAAGAAGGTTCGGAGGATTCATCCGTCTTCTTGGACTGCTCGTCTTCGCCACCTTTCCTGCTAATTAGAACCTCTTGTAGATTAGAGACTAGAGAAGGGGGTAAGAAGTTGTTCTTAACAGAAGTCGTCATCGAAGAGTAAATTCTTCTGTTATCAGAAATTCTATCACAGAAACAGATGGGCAGAGAAGGGGATGTGATAAAACTGATGATGAGAGAAGAAGACGAAGGAAGTGAAGGTTGGTTTTGTGTTGGGAAGGCAAGAAGAGAATGAAAAACCCTAGAACGCAGAAAAGAAAAGATAGTTCCGTAAAGGATGGTAATAAAGCGGTGATACAAAGGGCGTCCTGCCCGGGACAGACCCAGTCTAATGGCGTTATTTAGAGATTTATGAAGCAATTTGAGACTTACAGAGAGTAGAGACTACTACTAGTAGATAGAAAATGGGGGAAGGAATTCAATTGCTTGTTCAGTTGTTCCAGTTGAAACTTGAAAGGGGAAAATGGTTAAAAATTAAAATGTGATTTGATTAATTTTAATTTCGCCAAATTAGACCCAGATAATTTCATTTTAGAAAAAGTTATAATATAAATCACCGGATTAGATTAAGTTAAACGGTGTTTGGGTTCGAGGTTCAAAACTTTGATACAATACATACACGGTATTTGTAAGTTCCCGAAACGCCTGTTTTAAAGGTTCCAGGGAATTTTTATTTTTTAATAATACAATTATGCTCCCCTTTGAAAAATTTGAAACGAAAAAAAAAAATAAAAAAAAACGGTGTAATACTCACCTAAAAACACCCGATATGCGGGCACATTAGATGTATCATATTTTGAACCTGGGGAGAAGTAAATAAAAAAAAAAAAAAAAATTTTTAGACTGCATTCCATCTCAGAATTCTGGTTTGAATTGCACATGTATAACAATTTAAAATTATAAATACCTTCACCACCGATAATACTTATATCCACCTCTGAATTGGCATTAATTTCCATCTGGCACTTATCCTCAACTATACAGTGGAGTGAGGATTTCTATGGTAGACTGAATAATAAAAACCCCCCAAAAAAAACAAAACATAGAGGGAGGATAGAGCAGTAGTGGTAAAAAATATTATGGAAATTGGTATCCATCGCTGACTCTGAGAAATGTTTTAAAAACTGATTAGGAACCGGAACCTCTTTGGCCACTCACCAGCAGTTCGATCATCCGGTTTGAATAGATGGGCTCAGTTTTAAATTAAAAATTAAAAAAAAATGAAGATCAAAAATTATTATTCGGATCAAATAGGTCATCAGTTGAACCGTTCAGAGCCTCAAATCAATTGGCCATTGACCAAATCAACGATTTTTTAGCTAAAAAATGGATTAAAGGTAAAATGGAACCTGATGAAGGGAAATTTGGCCTGACCTCGCAATCGCCCGACACGTGGCAAAGACAAACAACTCGGGACAGTAGAGTGCTCGAAGCGAACATCAGAAGCAAGTCCAAGCTCACTACCGAGCCCGAACTCCAGACCGCTCCACTGAGTCCGAGCTCCCTACCAAGAGTCCGAGCTCCCTACCAAGAGTCCGAGCTCCCTACTAGGAGCCCAAGCTCCCTGTTAAGGGTCCGAGCTCCCTAAGTCCGAGCTCCCTATTAAGAGCAAGCTCCCTACTGGGAGTCCGAGCTCCCTATTAAGAGCGAGCTCCCTACTGAGAACTCGAGCTCCCTGCAAGGAGCACGAACTATACTGGGCCCCAAGCCTCACAAAGCTAACCCGAGCTGGCCCATGGCAGCTCGAAACACTCCAAACCGAACTCAAGACACCTTGCTCGCCACTCCAACACTTCGCTTCCGAAACACCCGGCTGACCAAACGTACCCGATACCAAGGACGTCCGTATCCAAGGGCGACGCACCTGACTGATTTGGGATCTGACGCCTGACAGCCGCACTTCAAACGGCTTCCTGCTACCGCCACCTGCAACCGTCGTCACTAGCCGCAGAGACRGCTCCGACAAAAGGAACAATGGCGGTTCTGTCCGGCCAGAGGAAATGACATCCGAACTGGCAGGAGTTCAGAAGTAATCATGCCCGATCTAACGGAAGCCTGTAAGTGAGTGCGCAAGGTGGTTATAAAAGGCTCCTACCCCCAGGAACGAGATATGCTAACTTTTGCGCTATCTGGTTTATCTTGCCTTTGAAGGATTCTAACTTGAGCTTCGGAGCCCTTACGTCGGGTTCTCCCCGGAGCTTCTCTTCTCCTTCCGTTTCAGGTCCCTGTTACTCA